TCCTTCTTTCCTTCTGTGCTTCTTTCCTTCTTTCCTTCTTTCCTTCTTCTTCTTCTTCTTCTTCTTCTTCTTCTTCTTTCCCTCCTTATTCTTCTTCTGCTCCTTCTTCTTCTTCTCCTTCTTTCTTTTTGGCAAGATGTTTGCCGATTTCACCGTCTTTCTCACAGCCCAGTCTTCGTGTTAAGTCTCTGTGTTTTGGACTGGTGATTTTTGCTGAGTAAGAAACAAGAACATCCCGGGGTCGAAAACCACTACTTCAGGAAGAAGAAAGTGTTTTCTTCTTCCCGGGTCTCATAACATCTAGGTCCTAGGTGGATCAGCCACAGTCGAATTGAGAAGTCCATTATCACCTTTTTTCAAATCTATATCAATCAATTAAACAGCCAGGAGGGAGGAGAGTCGACTGTGGAAAAGGTTGTCAATTTGGAACCTTCAAGAAGAAACAGTTTCCTCCCAGTGGTGTATACAGTGTGAAACAGGCATCGAATTTGGAGTTTCTTCTGGAAGAGAGTTTTGCCATCGAGTGTTTTGCTTCTATGAAAGGACCTTCGAACCGCAGCATACATTGAGGAGATTGAACCACGGTGCAAAAGCTGGGTCTTTGTGTATCTTTTGCAGGAGCAATTGGTACCTTCAAAGCATCATGGACAGGCTTCGTGCCGCTGTTTGCCCAAAGACCTTCGAGAGTCTACAACATGATTGTTTCTCAAGCTAGTAGTAACAGGTGCATCGCTAGTAGTAACAAGTGCCCTACTAGTAGTAACAAGAAGAATACATTAAGAAATGAAGCAACATGAAGCAAAATCGAGCGGCCTCGGGTCTCCTGCTGGGTTTGGGCCCCCAACGGCCCCCAACCGGCGGAGCGAAGGTCCACGGACCTGTCTCGTTATGGATGCCAAAGATGCTCTTGAGCAGCTCGCATGTGCCTGGACCGCGGAACCCGTCAAAGCTCCTTGGACTGGACCTTTTGCTGCGGAACATTCTGGACTCCCCCAAGCCTCTCACAAGCCTCTCACATCAGGCACAAGCCTCCCCCAAAGCCAAACATCTGTACCGGATCGTCTCGGAGCTGGGTATTCCTCGAGTCAGGTGTTGGTCGGGCAAAGACGGACGGACGGCGCCTGCCGGTGGAGGCCGATAACCCCACAAGATGAAGGGCACCTTCTGCCGCGTTGGCCTGAGAGCAGTTTCTTCTTGCCAGTTTCGGTGGGGGGCAGGTATTTGAGGCCACACACATTAAGATTGGAAGGAAAGATGCATCATGATGTACCCATGGGTTGGGAAGCCAAATCTGGAAGCCAAATCTGGAAGGAATCTTGGAGTTTCTTGGTCGATCTCCTCAACCCAAGGCTTTGAGGGCACAATGACACAAGGCCGCTGTTTTTCAGACCTTCAACCACTGTTTCTTCATGTTTTTTCGAAAGAAGTCGCATCGGTGGAAGTCGGACTGATCTCAGCGAACCCATCGATCTCAACAAAACGTCAACAAAACGTCGCCCCGGTGGCAAGAAATCCCCGGTGGCATCGATCTGCGCTGGCGAAGCCCATTTCCCAAAGTTTTGGGATGATACATCAAATCTATCCCTATCCCTTCTAATCTATGCCCTGGTATGAGAGAACCCAACAAAAACCGGACGGATGGTCTAAGTGCACCGGCTCCGGACGCCGAGCCTTCGGATCCCCCGTCGCCCCCGGACGTCTCGCCGAAGGTCTCATCCACTGAGCTGCCTCGCACATCGGTGGAGTCCAATAAGCGGCCTGAAGACGGAGGTTCGTTCGGACAGGCAGCGGAAGAAAGTGGACATGACAAGTGGACCCTAAGAACACATGGATGGAATGCTGATGAAGGGTATTCCAAGGGGAGTTCAGGGTCATAAAGGATCACATCCTTGTCGCAGTCATCCGAAACCGGTCTCCAATCTGTTTCTCCAACTATAATCTGACCCCCAAAAAGGTTTGGATGTAGAACGCCACTCTTTTCACGGCCCTCCACATCTCACACACCCCAAAACCGCAAAAAATCGCCGGTTGCTGAATTTGCCTCGACTGCGAAGTTTCTTCGGAAGCCAGTCCTCATTCGGATGAACCGAGAGGTCCGAACGAAGAACCCAGATGTGTCGCACGGGCGCCGCCCGGCGGAAAGCAAGGTTTTTTTTTTTAAAGCGGTACATACGACACCCCTTGGTCAAGAAGGACGGATGAATCATGTGAGGTTTCATCTCGAATTCTTCACGATTTTGCGAGAACAGCTCCCCAAAACAAGACAGATTGTTTGTTCTAGCCAAATAAACAAAGAGCACTACCCAACCCATCGCAATAGTGGGCTTGAAAAGGTTCCTCCTCCTGTGTATTATATATGTGCACATGGTTTTAAGCAATATATGTTACATCATGTCTCAAGCAGCGTTTTTCTCTTCGACTTGTTTTCGACCGCCTCTGGAACGCTAGGCGGTGGCGGGACCTGAGAGCGAACCAGAACACCGAGCTTCGCTCGGTGTCTGGGGGTGGCCATGGAGAGTCAAATGGCCAGGGCCTGTTCTTCGAAAAGAAACAGGCCGTTCTTGGAGAGAAAAGTGTTCACTCTGGGGAGTCACCCAGCAATTGAGGTACACGAAAAGCACTTACCATCTCCTGCTGGCGGATCGATCTCGACCACACCAGCGGCTTTTGGGTGACCCGAACCAGAAAAAAGCGGGTTCGGAAGGGATGTTCCAAAGCCGACCCAATGGGTCATGGTGAGGACATGGAAAAAACATTACAGAATCTCAAAGGGGTTTCATGGTGTGGACCTTAATTTGTTTGGGCGTGGGAAATGTTCTTTCTGTCTCAGACCTGCAAAGTCAGAAGCGGGTGGCCTTGCCCGTCATCTGGTCATCGAGGCAAAGCTCCGCCTAGCCAGAAATGGTATATTCACCTACCAAATTGTTGAGTGTTCGCTGGGTGAAAGGCGGAGCAGACATTCTCCGTACCGCCACGACAAAATTCCCTTCAGAGCAGCGCGTTTCGACCTGTGACTTGGTCCTCTAACTTGCTCCGTCGAGTGCGTCTATATAAGCCCCTAAATAAATAGAAAAGTAGATCCCGACTAAAAGTGTATTGGATATCCGTTTCTATTGATCACTATAATCCAAACCTGCGCCACGGTGGGTCCGGCGCCTTCACCCGCCATGCGGAGCGTTCCCGCCATGCGGAGTTTTCACAGGCCGAGGCCCGACTTTAGGGGGGCGCCTGGGGTCGCGCGCTTCGAACATCTGAAGCCATGCAAGCATGTGAAATGTGTGCTCTGAACTCTGAACTCCCATGAGAAAGGTGCGAAATGGTCAATTTCTGGAACTTTGACAGGAACTGCCTGGCTAGCACACTTGATGCTCGGCTCTCGACAAAACTTTGAGGCTTGAATCACTACAAGCGCTGCGGGGTTCGTCAACAACTAAACAACATTTGGTGAAAGAACGTTGGTGAGTTCATGTGATTTCAACATGCTGGTTGCATTGATCTCTGCTTCGCCCTGGTTAAATCCGAGACACCCGTTTTTTGTCGCGGACTTTGATCACAAGGAAAAGCTGGTACCAAAGGCAAACTAGGTGCTCTGCCACTGTAAAAATATCCCGGCAAAAGCCCCCAAGCAATGTTTTGAGGTCAGTCCAACCGCTGGGTTTACGGTCATATATATGTGCCACACACTTAGGATATTGTGTACTGAACTGAAAGCGGTGCCACAACGCCGGCCTAGGGTTCCAATTCCTAAGAGTACCAGTAAGGACCATCGAAACCTGGAGGTCTTAAAAGGAAAAGAGGCCAAAGTCTCAAGGCGACGACGAAGCGACAGGGTAACGACGGTCGTACTTGTCTGCCGAGTGAGGTTCTGGGCTTAGCCTCATGCCATTCAGAAAGGAAGGAAAAGCGCAGGTACGTCCAGCTGGCCAAGCTGGATATCCCACCAGATTGCATAGCTTTGTTAGACACGGTCTGCAATCTGGTGCCGTGTCCCCCTGCTTTGAAAAAGGTCTAGAGGTGTAGAAGCAGAAAGTCTACAGATCTAAACGTACAGAGAGGTCTCAAGATCCAGCAGAGTGAGAGAGAGATATATATATATATAGAGAGAGAGAGACACTCACACAGGCTTGGAGACTTAGGGACGCAGAAGGTCTAGAGGTCTTAAGAGATCCGGGAACTCTATTAAGGTCTCGCAGTCCAGTGGTTGAGCAGTGTAGAGGTCTAGAGATGCGGAGGTCTAGAGGTCTTGGGAGCCAGAGAGATCTAGATACAGGTCTAGTCTAGAGCTCTGCCGGCCCAAAGTTCAGTGCTGCGCCTACCACGAAATCTGCACCAAAGCAAAAGGTTTCCCTTGCGCCTGCCACGAAAAGTGACCACCAAGTCCGAAAATTGCACGGCACCACAACGAGAGCACGAGCCAGTGCAATGAATGTACCATAAATGGCAGCCAATTAGCCGGACACACGGGTGGGTTCGATCAAACACCCAGCCTTTTAACCTACCCCTAGTGATGTGGCCACACTTTTTGTTTCGACCCCACCGTCCTCCAAAACCAGGTTTAACGGAGACCCCTTCGTGGGGTCGCAAACCCAAGCAGCGCCGTGGCGACCCAAGCGCCTCCCTTTCGCTTTTTGGAGAAAGGCACGCAGCCGTGTGGGAGTCATGGTGGCGCCCCTGGCGCTTCACTCGAAGGGGATGTGGTCAAACCTCGGATGACGGGGATGACGGGGATGACGGAGTCGGTACGTGGAACAGCTTTGGGAAGGGAGGGTCGCATCAAGACGAATCACAGGTGGGGAGCCGCTTGGTATAACATGGAGCCCCAGAAGAGCACTGGGCTGTTTGTGAAGCATCGATTGCCACAGCTATAGTCCTCTCAGTTCACTCCCTCGCAATCACGGATCAACACTACATGGAATATTGTAATAGATAGAAAAGGATAATTTCACTCAAAATGTCTTAGAGACGGTGCCCCTATCTATTTCGGAGATCACTAGCACATAGTAAACAACTGCCTTTGCTCGGCGCCGGTCTCCGAGTCTCCAAGGGTCGAAAACACACGGCGGGACTGGCACGGCATGGCGGAAGGACATCGACCAAGACGAGGCAATGGTGAAGGGACGGTCAAGCACACAAGGGAGACATGGATGTCATAAATGTGGTGGCCTGGTCCATGACAGGACAAATCATTCCGAGTTTTTGGTGCGGAAAAAAGTGTGTTCTGCAATCCGCGTGCAGGGTTGGTACCATCCACAAGAATAGGTTGGGAAGAAATCCGGCCTCACTGAAATCAATGACTCCCTCCGAACAAGAATCTTGCATACTGTGAAAGTACCAACATCCCGTCCTCAAAAAGAGAGACTTATTGATGGAAGTGGTGATGCAGGCTTACAGGGCCCTTACAGGGCTTGACAGTTTTCCAAAGGTACACAGGCTTGATGCCCGCCCATGCTCTAAGCATGTCCCTTAAAGCACCGTGCTCTGCTCTACGTCAGTTCGTGTAAGATGTCCACCAACAATGGCAGTGAGTCCACAACCAGTCTCACAAATCATGCAAGATTCGTCAAACATAGACGTGACCTTCGTCACCTAGGTCGGAGGCCTTGTCAAGCCCATTCGTTTCACCCACCACCAAGCCCGCCACGTCGGTGCTGCGTTCCCTCTTTTTTTGGTCGCCGAATCATCTTCTGTCGGCTCCCGTCGTCCGTTCGTCCCCGCCGCACCCGCACCGAGGTGCATGTTGTTGGCACCACCAGGGATGGTGACAGTCATCCCTTCGAGCTGGGACCTCGAGCCACCGAGCCGGCGAGCTTCGCGCGCGCGGAGCTGGAGCCGAGATCGAGCCGATCTCTGCCGGTTCGCTCGCGGAACGAGTCCGTCACGGATCGAGTCGTCGTGACGTCTCGTGACCGTGCGGAGCGTCCGTGACGAGTCCTAGGTCACTACGACAGTTCATCCTCTGGATGAACCATGAGTTTCTTTTTCCAGAGGATGGATCTGTCGCCGGCTGGTCTTTGAGATGTCAGGGTTGACGGTGGTCTTCAAAAAGAGATCGAAAAGAGTATCCGCCCACCAGTTTGTGCAGATGATGTAGCACCTGGGAGTGTCCGTCATCGCGCGCTGACCCCACCCGGCCCCCCGTGGCCTTTCTAATTTGTCCAAGAGGAACAGCAGTTGTAAGTTGTAATCCGCACTGAACAAGAAAACAGAACCCTCCCTACTGCCTCCAGCAACCAGCCTTGCCCTCTCTGTCACTCCCTTGAAAACGCGTCGCAGTTGCCATAAGAAGTCACAAAGGTTCACCCTCCACCTTCCATACCCGCCACCTCTCTTTGCCCGTCGGCCCAACAACGGGCCCGCACGAGAGCCGCAGTTGACATCCCAAGCGGGAGGTCTCGGCAGGCTCAAAGGCCAGCTCTATCATGTCCTGCGAAGCCGAGCTGAGTGGGAGCGGAAGGTTCCCAGCAGCCACACGGTCTGCTGGAGTGGGCACATGTATCTTTTATAAAGTTGTTCCATTGGATTGGATTCAGATAGTATAGAATATGTCTATAGATGTTCTCTTTACACACTCAAAATACATGGGCCAGTCCTTTTGTGGCACGTCAAAAGGAGACCAGTCAACATTTGTTGGTCTCTGTAGGCCCCAAACCTAAGATCTGCATTGTCTCATACATGGTGCAGGATCTTTTCAGGATACTTTCAGTCAACACTAATCACTCACTAATAATCACTAATCCACTAATCCTACTAATATTCAAGATTTCAAGACCATAATAGTTCACATGGTCGACTCGTCGGCTGCCCTAAATCACCAATGCTGCAAATTACCCAAGCTTTAGGGCACATCATCTTCCTCCGCTTGGCGGCCAGTGACGAAATTGGCCGCACCGAAACTGTTGAGTTGGGAGAGAATGTTGCATCAAGGAAGAGTTGAACATGTTTTGGCTATCATGGTTTCATTCGGCACCAGTTGTTTTACTCAGATTACCGGCAGTTGTGTCACGTGCTACACTTCACCCAGTTATAGGCTCTGCTTGTGAACAGACAGTTCACAAGCACATGGGAAAATAGATGTTGCTCCGTGGCCTTGGAACCTGTTGGTGTTGTTTGGGAGGGTGAGGCTCTGCTGCTGAGCCCAGGATAGCACTGTCGCCCTCAAGCGGACCAAATTGCTGGATTCTGTCAGTGTGTAGATACGATATGGAGATATTTGTTATACACGTTCGCTTTGGGGTGTGGGTGTGTGTGTGTGTGTTCCACACTCCGTCTCGAGGAGTTTTTGTTACATGCAGGGGGACGGGTCACCACCGATACTGCCCGTCCAACGAAGAGGGTATCGGCTGGTGCTGAAGCAGTGGAGGACGCTCCGCTGTGTACCTGCATCGAACGCAATGACTCCACTGGTTTCCCTTGCCGCTGTTGGTTTGTTTCCACGGTGGTTCTTCGCATGATACCCCCCAAACAGGTTTCCTTGCACGGCATTAATTCAGTCTGCTAAGTAGTCAGTAACTAGTTTTCTGAGTGCATTTGCAAACACGGTTGAAACAATCACCTCCGCGGACTCAGCCACCTTACGTTTCCCTAATCCATTTACTCGTGGAACAGAGTTAACTGCAAACTATTGTCTAAGTGTGTGCCGCTCTGTCGTCCCACTGGGTGCAGAGTGCGATCCTCTCGCAAGAGAGGCGCTGAAGCCACTCCGGACTACTGTTTTTCTGACTGTGGATTCTGGCTTGATGAATTTTGTTTCACCCAATGAATTTCCTGCCACAACACTGCCGAGTTTACGGAGATCCCTATGATTCCAAGGGTTACACACACACACGCCTCCCTGAAGGGAGGCAAGATTTTAAGCTCCGCGCCAAAAGTGGAGTGAGACTAAGTAAATTGACGGATCTCTGTGATTCCAAGCACGCCTCCCCGACGGGGAGGCATCTAGAGCGTCCTTGCGCCTAGTAGTAAGGCCAGGAACCCCTAGAAGCACCAAAGTAGCGTCCTAGTAAGAAGGCCAGGAGCCCCTAGTAGCAACCCACACTAAGGTCCTGACAGGAGGGAGGGGTAGGGAGAGAAGAGAAAAAGAAAGAGAAGAAAGGAAAGGGGGGGAAGGTGTTCCCAGCTACGACACAAGCGTCCAGGGACACACCAAAGGAGGGGAGGAAAAGGGTTCCCAGCTATGACGAAAGCATCCAGGGACACCCAAGGAAGAGGGAAAAGAGAGGGAAGAGAGAAAGAAAGAAAGAAAGAGAGAGGGAGAGAGAGGGAGAAGAGAGAAAGGAAGGTGTTCCCAGCGACGAACAATCGTCCAGGGACACACCAAAGAAAGAGAGGGGGGATCCTGAGTATTCCATTCAGGAAAACCCCAGAAAGCAAAGAAAGAAAGGGGAAGGGAAGGGGGAGGAGGGGGGACTAAGCTCGCGACAGGTTCCAATGAACCTTGAACAGACTTCGGTCGCTGCGACCACGTACGGCGTGCCCAGGGGCTGCCACCTCTGACCGCTACGGTCACGTAAAGGCATGAGCCAGCTTGGAATTCCAAAGATGGGACAAATTTGAGTTCTTATGGCATGAGCCAGCTACTGTCCGCTGCGGACACGTACATCTCCGGGCAGGGGAGATAACGACGTACACCCGTTCGACGGGTCCACGGGAGGCACTCTGCGGGCTCATCCCGGGTTGGCACAAGGCCAAACACACTTAGGATATTGTGTACTGAACTGAAAGCGGTGCCACACGCCGGCCTAGGGTTCCAATTCCTAAGAGTACCAGTAAGGACCATCGAAACCTGGAGGTCTTAAAAGGAAAAGAGGCCAAAGTCTCAAGGCGACGACGAAGCGACAGGGTAACGACGGTCGTACTTGTCTGCCGAGTGAGGTTCTGGGCTTGGCCTCATGCCATTCAGAAAGGAAGGAAAAGCGCAGGTACGTCCAGCTGGCCAAGCTGGATATCCCACCAGATTGCATAGCTTTGTTAGACACGGTCTGCAATCTGGTGCCGTGTCCCCCTGCTTTGAAAAAGGACAAAAATTCACACTTGCACGCGAATTCACACTTTTATCTCACCCGCTATCTAGGGTAACAGAAGGAAATGGTACTCGACACACTTGTGTGTCGGTGCCTTTCCTTCTGTTTCTCCTGTCCTAGTCCTATCTACCCGGGCGGTTTAAGACTAATGTCCCGCTCGCTAACTAGTGCATTTAATTCATGCTGCTAAGTATTCAGTAACTAGAAGGTTTCGTAACTAGTGGGCCTCGTAACTACACCTATCTTTCTCTCTTGCCCTTTGCGTTTCTCTTTCTGTCTTTTCTTTTCCTTTCTTTCTAAGGCTTTTTAGGTGGTTAGCATTTTTCTCTCGAGCGCCGATATCGGCGCTCTGTGTGTGTCACACTCCGTCGAGGAGTTTTTGTTACATGCAGGGGGACGGGTCACCACCGATACTGCCCGTCCAACGAAGAGGGTATCGGTTGGTGCTGAAGCAGTGGAGGACGCTCCACTGTGTACCTGCATCGAACGCACTGACTCCACTGGTTTCCCTTGCCGCTGTTGGTTTGTTTCCACGGTGGTTCTTCGCATGATACCCCCCAAACAGGTTTCCTTGCACGGCATTAATTCAGTCTGCTAAGTAGTCAGTAACTAGTTTTCTGAATGCATTTGCAAACACGGTTGAAACATTCACCTCCGCGGACTCAGCCACCTTACGTTTCCCTCATCCATTTACTCGTGGAACAGAGTTAACTGCAAACCCATTGTCTAAGTGTGTGTGGTAGGCCAATCTTCCACCAAGAAGACAAACTTCCCGACCACTTCGCTCGACAAGGTGAAGAAAAGGTTAGAAAAGGCGATCTCTTCCCGCAATGGCATGTTTGCCCTTTCTCTTGGACAGTTGAGGTCTTTGTCCGTCCTTGCATCTTTCAGAGTTCCAAGTCTAGTTTCCAAACAAACAACTCCAGGAGACACAACATGGTCCTCTCAAAAAAGGCCTCTCACTCTTCCGGCGCTTTGGTCACTTTGGAGCTTTGGCTGCTGGCCCCTCCCACGAAGCTCGGCCGCTGCCGACACCGAGCCGCCGATCCTCTTCTGCCTCATCCGCTGGGCCAAGGGCCTTGAAGGAGCTCGCATCCTCGGACTTGAGATGCTTCTTTAGATGTTTTTGAGCAGGAGTCTTATCACGTGATAGAGTGCTCAATCATCACGTGCGCGCCACAAATCGCGTGCGCGCTCAGGACCGCAAAACCCTAGCATATCAGGGGCACAAAGGAAGATGACCATGGCAAGAGAAAACCGCCACGATTCTGCATGTTTCTTCATGTTTCTGCATAGATTTGGTCTCGCCAGCCAACGCGCGTAGAGAAAAAAACCTGCTTTGAAAAACCTCGAAGCAAAAGACTTCAGGGACTTCCAGCCGTCAAACATCCGAATCCCCTTTCCCGCCTCTTGTTGCAGGGGGGTCCCTTTGCCACCTCCACCCCAAACTTTGGCCGCTGAAAAACGCGTTGTCGCTCCTTTTCTTACGGCTCACGTTGCTCGGAGCGTTATCGCTTCATCGCCACAGAAGACCCCACAACGAACCGCTGCGTTTATCGGCTCATCGGCCGCCATCGTTGCTTGGAATCCCCGAATCGCTCGGAGGATCCACGGATTGTCCTGGCCCGGATCTGTTGCCGCCTCTGCCGGCTAAATGGGGCCGTCCGGCTCTTTACACGTGCCCCCATTAAACAAGCATGTCAAGCACTTGAAGTCGTTGAGTTGGGAAACAAGGAGGACTTGAAGAAGATCTGGAACGCACAATCTGAAGACCTAATCACATCAAACTGAAGACCGGCAAGAAGCCAGGACGCAAAAGCTCTTAATGTGGTCTTCTCCTGAGGGGGCCCCTTTGGCGTCCCTGTGGCATATGAGGCCGATAAGTGGCCTTGACTACATATAGATGTACGAAAGAGTGACACGACTGTCTGACCGCTCTGCGGACCGCTCTGCTGGGTCCTGCTTGTCCCTACTGTCGGAGTGCGAGTGTGGCGTTCCTTGTCGTCAGGAATCTGTTTTTGGATCCGACCAGGTACGCCTCGCAGTGTGTCATGTGAGAGCCAGTTCGGTGGGCGGCCACTCAGTGTGAAATTGTGGACCAAGATTTCGAACGGTGGCTCCGACTTGACATCCCAACGTCACAAAAGCAGAGCAGACTGAGCGCAAACACAAACCTCCAACTTTAATGATGCAAACTAGAAGATATGGCTGCGCTTCGGCGGGCAACGCACCAGCCAAAATGGCTGGCTTGTCTGCCTGTGGCTTCCTTTGAGTCATGTGACATCTTGCATCTACCCACCCGGAGTGATCAGCCTATGAGCACCTTCTTGATCCATGACTTGACTAGTCAGGGGGGACAGCCAATAACCTCCCATGGCACCCGCCCTTCTGCATCTGCAGCCCTTCCAGTCTTCTGTTCCGCGGCCTCCTTGCGAGGCACTTCCGGGAGGCGCGAAGCCAGTTCAAATCAAAGCCAGGCTGATCTTCCGATAGGAACAACAAAAAGCTGATGCAATGGAAATCAATGATAATCGAAGTCATCACATATCACAAAGGCTTGATCTTTGACAAAAATAGAAGATGCTTCCAGCTTGAGCTATTATTTATGGATAGAGGCTCAAAGCTCTCAATATCCGAACTCATCCAACTCGTGATGGCAGTTCACCACGGTTGGGGTTCTCGCGACAAAATCGATTTACACATACCACTACCGAGCCTATGTTAATTAGATCTTGTGGTCTTGACGCCATTTCGATTGCGCCGACCTTATGAAAGATGTCTACAAATGGAAAACGATATAGCAGATATAGCTGGCGCAAATCTCTGACATGTCCAGTGTTCTTGAACGTCCTTCCGTGTCGCGGTCTATACCGCCACAATCACCTTGTGACCGGGCGCCCCCCATGCGCCACAAACACCGGACACCCCTCAACACCGGTCGATTCGCCTGCGGCGCAGGGCGGGTCGATGTCGGGTTCCATGATCGGGTCTTGCGGGGTGACCACCAAAACCGGTAACCGCTTGAGGACAAAGGGCCAACTCCTTGCGGGGATGGGTAGCAGAAGTCAAGTCCCAAAGAACTCGGATGGCGCCTTCTTATGGGTCTTCTTTGACCCCAGACTCTCCAGACATCTGTGAACAGAACCTGGGCATATCAGAATGTCTCCAGGAAACCACCCATCCGTAACCCGGTGTCGGCGTCCTGGAGCCCCAGAGTAAAAGAAGGGAGGCGGGTGGGCTTGACGGGTAGGACGTCTTGCTTGTGGCTTTCCGGACAGGACAGCACGAAGCTGAGTCCGAGCTTAGCGTGCTGTTTTTTGCTGAGTCCGAGCTTTGCGTGCTGTTTTTTTGGTTACCGTGGTTTAAACAAACAACAGATATATTATGATTCGAATCATGTTCGCTTATGTTTGCCCCTACAAACTGGCCCACCCTTCAGGTGCAACTCAGTTGAGTGCTCAACGAAAGTGCGCAGCGCAACAGGCTTTCCGGAAGGCCTCAGGCTGCAGCTTGGCTCAGGAGTCGAAAAATCCGTTTGAAGGCTTTGGCAGGCACCTCAGGTTGGCTTTGAAGCTCGAGTGCAAGGCTTGAGCTCGAGCTTAGCTTCTTCATTCATGGACTGCTTGGTCTACACTCCCTGGAATCATCATGGTGGATGGCACCACCTGATACCACCTGTGTTAGGATTTCATGGTCCTTGTGTGGCCATCCACGTCACGTGTCTTCACCTTATTTATATTTGGTCAATAGTTCCCATGATGAGGTTTTGGGGCTGCGGAATCCGCGTTGAAACCAAAGGCATCGAGTCAGGACTTCGTCCTGCCTCCGTGCAGCACGGATGATGTCACCACCTCTCATGTCATCACAGGTTGGGGATGGCTGGGGTGGGTCTTTAGATCACACCAGTTTGGGGATTCTCCAAAAGAATTTCTTGCTTCGCTTGCTTTGGCTTCGTAACTCCAAAAAGGTGAATTGATGCAAATTGAATGAAATTGACAAGTTTGCCAAGGGACATCCGCCTTCCATTGCAAGAGCTCGAAGAACTTTGACTCCAACTGATTGAGCTCCGCCACGCTGACGTCCCCCACGTGGGCATAGAAACTGGCATCCTTAGGTCGTTGGAGGCGCTTTGCCATCTGCTCTAAAGGAGACGGTTCCAGTCGATTTTTGGGTAAGGCCTGTGGGGGACCAAAGGGAAAGGACGGCCAGAACTGGCTCCCAAACGAAAGGGCTGAAATCAGGCTAATCCCGGTCATTCGCGGCAGATTATGGCTATTCCAGTCAAGGAACACCGTCACCGAGTGGAATTTCCAAACCCCTGGAGGTGGAGAAAATTCCCCCTGGAGTCTGGACATGCGTCCCCATGAGTCTCGGGGCGAAGACGTTAGGAGCTGCATACAGAAAAAGGATGCTGAGTAAAGCCGCGTGATCAAAGCTCTCTGGCTGCTGCATCTTCGCTGCTACGGTGATGGCGGCTAGGAGAAGTCGATGAACGGTGCGGGGGCTAAGTTCTACTTTACCACTGTTCAGCTCCGACATCCGACAAATGTAGACGAAGGCATACACGAAGCACACCTGGCGTCCACTCGTCTTCTCTGACGGTCCAAAAGGATCCAAGAAGCAGGGTCCAAATATGTCCAAACCGTGCAAAACTGCCAAGTGAACACCGTCAACGCCAAGCGACAGGAGGGCAGCCACTCTGGTGTAGGTGCCAAACGAACTCTTCAATGTCCGGCATCTTCTTCAGCTCGGAGTGGAAGCAACTCTCCTCTTTGGGCTTCGACTTGGGGACCTCTCCGATGGCCTTTCGCAGCGCTTTGCCAAAGCCTTCGATGACCTTGGCACCAATCGGCGCCACTCCCTGGCCGAGACCTGCCTGGGTCAGAGGCATCTCCCAAGAAGCCTCCCAAGCGAAGGCTGGCACGGCACTCACGGTCCACACCGAACTGGGACCGCTCATCTGACTCCTCAGAGCGTCCGCACGGGTCCGCATGGGTTTGCATGGGTCCGCGAAAGAAGAATCTGGGTGGAACAGGTAGAAGTCAGAAGACTGTGCAGGTCGGATGAAGAGCAGACCAAAGACCCTTCCCAATGGAGATTGGACCCAAAAACCATGGAAGAAAGCTTAAGCCAAGCGCTTACTATCCGAGAGTGAAGCTGGACAAGGTTTTGCTCTCATCAACCGCTTTGGACACTTGATTCGCAAGCTTCGTGCAATAATGGAAAATATCAGCGGATGGTCTAAAAACGACGGAAGCGTGAAAACATAAACATCACAAAATAAATCAGAAGAAATATCAACAAAAGTGCACAGCGGAAGACTTCTAGTCCGTCAGCTTGACTACTCCGGTCGATGGATGTCGCTTCGGATGACGGACTCCCAAGCCTTGATTACCCCGAGGCTTTTCAGCCACCTCTTGTCCTAGAGCCGGTGACTTCCCAGCACATGGCACATCGAAACTGGCCTAATTCCATCTGTACCCAGCTTGGTGAACTCTTTATCACCAAGGGCCCACTGGCGTGGCTTGCCCCTACCCCTCCACATCCCACCTCCTTCAGCCCAACCTGCACCCCCCAAACCCCGGCCTCGTTGTCTCACCCCATCCCCCACCCAAATTCCAAAGCTGCCCGCCCAGCCATGCCCAGCCACTTGTCATCATCTCCGCTCTCGGAGGAGCTCGAGGTGCCTGGTCTCCTTTTGGGCGCGACGGCCTCGTCGTCCGTGTCCGGCCACACCTCGGGACACAGCACAGACGGCGGCCGAGAGGGTTCCACCAAACCCGCTTCCAGTGGGTGTGGGAGGAGCAGCAAAAAAAAGGATGAAGAAACCCAGGGTGTGGAGCACTCCGAAGTTCGATCCACCTTGCACCTCCCAAATGGCTGGGCTTTCGGGGGCATGTTCTGTCGGGGGTCAGCCCTCTGTCAAGACCCTGTTGGGAGGTTTCTTGTTCTTCAACTCTGCAAGTCGTTGAAAGAAAGGCCCACGACCCTGCAAAACGATGCAAAACTGACCTTCGGCCAGAAGCACTGGCACGTTCATGTCCTCCCCCACGTCAGTGGAGTCGGTCTCTGGGCTAGCGCCGCCATTGGAACAGGCTTCCGGTGCGTTGTCGGCGAGGAAGTACGGCACGTAGCCACTGAAGGAGTGGCAACGAGTGAACTTCGCCTGGAGGCACGTTCTTTCAAGCATGCAAGCATGATGTAAATCCGCCCGCACCGAAGGTGCCGAGGCGTGGCTTTAGGGCACGGGTTATACCGCAAGTACCGCAAGTACTATCAATCAAGAAACATCCCCGGCACCGTTTTGGGGCCGCGGTTTTTGGGGAGGAATGTTCCGCAAGCATGATGCGCACGGCTGGAAAAAAGAGTGTGTGGATGGGTTCTGTTGGAAGACATCCTCCTGTTGCACATTGGAGCACACCCCCTTCGGTTGACATCTCTGGTTCACTTGGTTCATGTCAGTCGGTCAACAAGGGCCCCGTACGGATGGGCTGGACCTCTAGCCAAAAAGTGATGTGTCTTACCACTAGTGGTGCACCAAGAACTTCCATCCGAGCTCAAGCAAGTATAATTCTTTTGAAAAACCTGTGACCAAGTCGTCCGGGCTGTTCCACAGCTCGTGGTGGCCTTGGCGTCGCTGTCCGCGTAGTGGATGATCGTCGCCCCTAGGGGTTTCAAACGAGGCTCAATGGGGAGCATGATGCGCCGCGCGATGGGTCCGGGACAACAAAAGCTTTTGGCCACTACGGGACACTGCCGGAAGCCAAAATGGCTGCTAGGTTCGGCCAGGCTTGCACACGGAGAGGTTGCTAGTGAACCTCTGAACCTTACCTGAAGCCTTTCCAAGCCAGAGCATGCTTTCCACACAAGTACTCATGAGCTTAACAGGCTCGCTCCCAAGCTTCCACCTCAAGCAAGCCCGAGCGCCCAGCCAGGTAGACATGGCAAGTGGAACACGCCATCACTCCACTGCAGGCACATTCAATGTACTCCTCGCAGGCGAGGCTTGCAGTGATTTGCACACGAGAAATGTGCTTGCAAAGAATGCGGCTTCAGACGGGCTTCTCGCCGCCGTTTCGCACCGCCATTTCGCACCCCGGCGCCAGCGCCCACGCAAGACGGCACCAGGTCATTCTCCCCGCCACCCAACGGCAGCGGCGGGCGTCGGGGCGGTCTCACCGGAGGTCACCCGAGTAGCATCTAGTTACTAGTGGCGATGGCCTGCAAACCAATAGGGATGGCCTCCACCTATATAGCTTCTAGTTACTAGTGGCGATGGCCTGCAAACCAATAGCGATGGCCTCC